TAAGAGAATTCATCACTAGAAGAGCTTGACTATAAGAAATCTAAAGGAATTTCTCCAGTCTTCAGGGAAATATACCTCTTTGAAATGTGCATATATAGAAAGAATTAAGAGCACCAGAAAGAGTAAATACATGGATACATTTAAAAATCCCTACTTTCCTTCTAAATATCTCTAAAACATGTATTTCTATTTATGTTAAAGTAGAATTTTAACTTTGAAATATGGGGTTTATAACATATATAGAAATGTAATACATAAAACAAGTATAGCATGTAAGATAGGGTACTGGTAAACAAGTTTATATGGCCAGAAGTTTCTTACCATTATGTAAAGTATTACTACATTAACTCTAAGTAGACATTAGAACCTTAGACTATGACCCCTAAATCAGTTGGCAAAATGCAGTCTGAATGCCAAATTTGGACCACCACCTGATTTTGTAAATGATTTTTTTGAATAATCATGCTCACTCTTTAAATACTGTCTATGGTTGCTTTCACACTATGATGACACTAGAGTTGAGTAGTTGCACCAGAGCCCACGTGGCCACAAAGGCCAAAATATTCTGTGGCTCTTTACAAAGATAGTTCACTGACTCCTGACCTAGAATAACCACTTAAAAGTAATAATGAAAAGAAGTATAGCTGAAAAGTCAATAGCTAAATTAAAATGGAGTTCTCACAGTTATTCAATGCCTAAAGAAGGCGCTCAGAGAGACAGTGAAAGACAGGGAAGCTTGGCATGCTGCAGTCCACAGGGTCACAAAGAATTGGACACTCCTCAGCAACTGAACAACAACAAAAAAGGCACTGAACACCACCACCATGACAAAGGAAAACTGTCATAAAATGGTAGGCCTAAATGCAACTACATCAGTAACTACATTAGGTGGAAATGGAGCAAACACTAATTAAAAGGCAGAGGTTGTCAGGATGAATTAAAAGGCAAGATGTACCTTTAAGACACTCACTTTAAACATCAAGGCATAGATGGCTTGAAAATAAATGAATGAAAAACATATGCCATGCAAACAGCTAGAGAGACTCATATCAAGTACAGTAGATTTCAAAATAAAAAGTGTTACCAGAAAGAAAGAGGAACATTTTGTAATAATAAAAGGGTCTGTTGACTGGGAAGACATAATAACCTTATGTAAATACTCTAAAAATAGTTTCAAAATGTATAAAGCAAAATCTGAAAGAATTAGAGTCATAGACAAATACAAAAATCAAAGGTGGAGGATTTAATACCCCTACCTCATCAACTGAAAGAGTATCTAGATAAAAATCAATGATAAATGAACTGTTAATAGTTTCTTTTATAAGATTTAGAAAACTAATATGTTATGTGGACTTTATCACCTTAATAACACAATGCATCATGTCTTTTCTTCTTGATTCTCTCTTTGAGTCAGATATACACACAGATGGAAGAAAAGTATAGGAAATAACATTGGCCCCTAGACAAATATGGATAAGGTCAGTTTTCATCCAATTCCAAAGAAGAGCAATGTCAAAGAATGCTCAAACTACTGCACCATTACACTCATTTCACAAGCAAGCAAGTTAATGCTCAAAGTTCTCCAAGCTAGGTTTCAACAGTACGTGAACTGATAATTTCCAAACGTACAAGTTGGATTTAGAAAAGACAGGGGAACCAGAGATCAAATTGCCAACATCCGTTGGATCACAGAAAAAGCAAGGGAATTCCAGAAAAACATATACTTCTGTTTCATTGACTATGCTAAAGCCTTTGACTCACAATAAACTGTGGAAAGCTCTTTAAAAGATGGGAATACCAGCCACTTTACCTGCCTCCTGAGAAATGTGTAAGTAGGTCAAGAAGCAACAGTTAGAACCAGACATGGAATAATGGATTGGCTCTCAATCAGGAAAGGAGTACATCAAGGCTACATATTGTCACCCTACTTATTTAACTTGTATGCAGAGTACATCATGCAAAATGCTGGGCTGGATAAAGCACAAGCTGGAATCAAGATTCCCAGGAGAAATATCAATAACCTCAGATATGCAGATGATACCACCCTAATGGCAGAAAGTGAAGAGGAAATAAAAAGCCTCTTGATGATGGTGAAAGAGGAGAGTGAAAAAGCTGACTTGAAACTCAACATTCAAAAAACTAAGATCATGGCATCTGGTCCCATCACTTCATGGCAAATAGATAGGGAAAAAATTAAAACAGTAGCAGATTTTATTTCCTTGAGCTCTATAATCACGGCAGGTGGTAACTATAGCCATGAAAGTAAAAGATGCTTCCTCCTTTGAAGAAAAGCTATGACAAACCTAGACAGTGCATTAAAAAGCAGATACATCACTTTGCCAACAAAGGTCTGTATAGTCAGAGCTATGGCTTTTCCAGTAGTGATGCACAGGTGTGAGAGTTGGACCATAAAGAAAGTTGAACGCTGAAGAATTGATGCTTTTGAACTGTGGTGTTGGAGAAGACTCTTGAGATTCCTTGGACTGCAAGGTAATCAAACCAGTCAATTCTAAATGAAATCAATCCTGAATATTCACTAGAAGGACTGATACTAAAGCTGAAGCTCCAACTCTTTGACCACCTGATGCGAAGAGCTGACTCATTGGAAAAGATTTGGATGTTGAGAAAGACAGAAGGCAAACAGAGAAGATGGCAGAAGAGGATGAGATAGTTAGATAGCATCACTGACTCAATGGACATGAGCTTGAGCACTGGAGGTGGAGGACAAGGAAGTTTGGTGTGCTACAGTCCATGGGGTTGCAAAGAGTCGGACATGACTGAGCAACTGAACAACAACATAACAAGTATACTTCTGTTTATTTGGACTAGCCGAGAATTCTATGTGCTAGCAATTTTCATTTAATACCTGGTTTTAGTATTATGACAATTGCAGTCAGTTCAGTTCAGTTCAGTTCAGTCGCTCAGTGATGTCTGACTCTTTGCGACCCCATGGACTGCAGCATGCCAGGCTTCCCTGTCCATCATCAACTCCTGGAGATTACTCAAACTCATGTCCATTGAGTCGGTGATGCCATCTAACCATCTCATCCTCTGTTGTCCCCTTCTCCTCCTGCCTTCAATCATTCCCAGCATCAGGGTCTTTTCAAATGAGTCAGCTCCTCGCATCAGGTGGCCAAAGTACTGGAGTTCCAGCTTCAGCATCAGTCCTTCCAATGAATATTCAGGACTGATTTTCTTCAGGATGGACTGGTTATATCTCTTTGCTGTCCAAGGGACTCTCAAGAGTCTTCTCCAACACCACAGTTCAAAAGCATCAATTCCATGACAATTTAGAGATGTCTATTTTACACATGAAGAAAATAAGATCTGAAGAGCTAACCAACTTAGGCAAGACATTATGAGCAGCATGCATTAAAACAAAGGTCAATCTGACCTCCGGTGTATCTTTCTATTATAAGCACTGTCTGATTGCTGACAGTGAAAAAATGACTAGAGACACTGAGATTACTGTGCAGGATCAAATGTATTTGGGGGGCATCTGGATTTGTTGGATTGATTGATCCTAGCTTTATTCAGATCTCAAGTCTCTTTCAGTTTAATCAAGACCAAGGGGACGATGTATGTATAAATCTAAGTAAACCTCAACAGTTAGTATTAACTCATTTTGTACTGTCATCTGCTAACGTAACTTTACGCTTGCAATAGTCTATGAGACTTGTTTGGTGTAAGCTAGTTACAAAACAGCTCTAGTAAAAACCATTTGGTTTCCTCAACCATTTTTGATTGAGGAAACCAGATTTCTAATTTTATATTTATCCAGGCATATGTGATAAGCTGAACATGAAGGTAAAATCTAAGGAGTGTCAACAATGTACAATATGTCTAAGTAATTTAATTTCTCCTGGTTTCATTTTTCTAAAATAAGAACAGACTTGAAAAATTCCAAATGTTTCCATTCATCACAAATATTAATTTTGTGTTACAGTGCAGCAACATGGAAGAATCTCCAGAAACACTGTTTACATTGATATAAAAGAAACTCAGATGATGAATATTAATACTCCAAAATAGTCTTTCAGGGTGACTTCAGTTAATGATATATTCTCACAAAAAGTTCTTTCCCTGGATACAACCGGTTTTCTCTTTTAAGTCTCTGCTACTGTAGGTCTGACCATTGTCAAATGTAATGCTATTATGGAAACCAACAGGCAGGGGGCAGCAGATTTCACAGACGAAAAGTAAATCCAGTGACAGTGCTAGCTACTACAGCAACTAAAACAATATCGTCCTAGCCTTTTCTGACTATTCAGTTGCTGTATATTTAAACTGTATAACTTTAAATTATACATATATATATATAACAAATCAAAATGACATTAAAAATTATGTTTAAAATGAAATAAAAAACCCATACGTTTAAGCTCGTGTATTCAAAACTATACATGTATATATGAGTAACGTGTATGTGAATGTATTTCTCTTTTTAAAAATATATTTTCTTCCCTTCAATTAATATTGATAACCACAGAACTTGTGTCCCAGAGGAAAAAATTGTATAATTATGAGATTTTTGATGGTAGGAAAATATTTAGCATTATATGATATTAAAAATTCTTAAGAGTAGGACCATGGGAAATATAAAGACACACACAACTCCACACTCCAAGGGTCCAAACAACACAAGTTGAGTTAAAAGGAAACTAGGCAAGAGGCCTCAAAGAAGTTTCTTACATTAGCTTCTTAATGTTCCATTATATTTATATCATATCACACTACTTTATCTTGAAATGGGTTTTACAGAAAAACTATCATAATAAGATGAAGTTAAAGTGTCAGTTACCACTACCAGTTTATAGATAGGTACATAAAAGGCCCAAAATGAGTAAGCAATTTGCCTCAGTGAAAGAATGACCTAAGGACTCAAGGAGGAAAATAACTTATATTCGCTTAGTCTAACATACTGATTACTAAACAAGAGTTGTATCAGAGGATAAAGTGGGTAAAATATATTTATGGTTTGATTGTTTTTAATCACTTACTGGTTTTCCTTGAACTCCTCTCTCTCCAGGGTTTCCAGTCTTACCCTAATGAGAGAGAAAATGCCTGGGTCAAGCAACTCCCTCCTCAAACACGAATCCCAGGCCAAGAAAAATGGAAGATTTTATGTTTATGGTTAATGTGAACTGTTTTACTACTTACAATAAGACCATGAGGTCCTCTTTTTCCTTGATCTCCTATTTCACCCTAACAAGAATCAATAACAGGTGAGTTAATAAGAATGGGAATTGTGGTCTTACACCATACACTCACATACCAAAAAAGTAAGACATCATATACATACTTCAATAACAAAAAAACACATTTCTGTGAGTACAGTAAAAACTTTATGTACATTTCATAATTAGACTTAAAAATTAGAATCATACTTTTATAAGAAAATACATCAGTGTTTAGACAGGTAGGAGATACAGGCTGAAAAATATTTAACTGCACATGAAATGAGCAAATAAATGATTACCTTGGTACCTTGTATACCTGGCTCTCCTAAGGGACCATCTGGTCCTCTTGGTCCCTAGAGATGAAAAAACATCCTGTTGTTAATTTTAAATGTTTCTTTTGTACTGTTATGCATCCATACAAATGGAGACATTGCCCTCAATAGTTGACAAACTCCTTTTGCTTGTTTCTGTGCCAGGAACACAGTAAAGAATACAGCTGGGTATTATATGGGTGAACTCATCTGCATAGGAGAATCAGGCCAGTGTTTTTAATGAAAAATTGTAAATCAGATAACCACAAAAACAGCTGATTGAGTTGTTGAGTCAGGTGGCTGTAACACAGATTTGTTATTTAAGTCTTTTGTTTACCTTATCATTTACTCTACAGAAATCCAAAATTTCTCCTAAAAACAACTCTAAAGTAACTTTAAAGTAGCTTGTTTGTCAAAACAGTTTTCTTGTTTTATATTTTTGCAATGGCACTCTTCTCATCACATTATTAGGAAACGAATGCTGACTGCATGTTCTCTACCATGCACCTGCTTGACAACTGAAAGATGGCCATGGGCACAGAAAAGGAACAGAAAATGCTGCTGAGAATGTTCATGTACAATTAAAATTTCTGAGCTGTGTTGCTCTCAATACCAAATCAGTAATTAGCTATGAATATTAGTTGTAAAAGTCATTCTCTATGAAAGACGGTATACATTCCTTGACAAAATTATAACTGTCCTTGCAAGATCTTAAAGTCCTTTTAAAGAGAATTAATCAAATTCTACAACCATTAACTGAACATTAACTGTGAAAAAGGCACTGCATTAAATGTTATGGGGATCCATATTATGATATAAGGTAAACTACAAAAGCAGAGATAAGGTGTGTTAAGGGGTAAAGCGATTCAAAGGAGGGAGAGAGCTTTCACAGGTTGTAAAGGGAATGGAGGTATTATTTTGACAGTCAGAGATCATGCTCTGGAAGAAATTCTAAATAGAGGGATAGTATGAGAAAAGGATACAGAGGCAGAAAAGAAGATATGCAAGAATGAAAAATGTAGTTCGTTTAACCTGAGCTATTGATTACACTGAGCATTTTTTAGTATTTCTATATTAATAGATAATTGCAGAAAGACTGGGATTTAAAGGGTGAAGGACTGGAGTTTATAGTTGAATCAATAAACAATGAGGAGGCATTGAAGATTTCTATACAAAACAGTGATACAAATTTCCTAATATAACATGATGATTTGAAGGAGCCCTATAGGCTTCAGCACCTTCTACTGTAGCCCATCTGAGGCCAACTTAGTTTAAGTATATACTATTATAAAGCCGCTTACTGTAATAGGACGCTCTTCCTGGGTGCTCTTGGGGTAACTGCAAACCCTGATCCTGTTGGGAACATTCATGGGATTGGAGAGAAGACTCACAGTCCATGAGGATGTATAGCCCCACTGGGCATACTAGAGCCAAAGCCATATCTCCAGCACTACAATCTCTCAGTCTATATTTAAGGTACTCCATGACATGTCCCCAGCTTACTTTTGACCCTATTTTCCCATAAAAGACTGAAAAACTAAGTTAAACTCTGAATGTATAGGACCCTGAATATCAGATTGAGGAGTGTGGACTTAATAGACATGTGACTTTCAAAGTGCTATTCACTTAACAAACATTTATTGAGGACCAACTGGGAGAAGAGACAAATCCCTGAATTTATAAATAAGCAAGTATATATGTAAAATTACAATATAAAATGACTATAGGTAGTCAGGTATAATGAAGAAAAATAAAGAGGCTAAGGGACTAGAAAGAATCTAAGGTAGGGAGGGGAGCTACTTTAGAGGGGTGTTCGAGAAAGCTCTCAAATGACATGTGGCTAGACCTGAAGGAGATGAGACTGAGGGTATGCAAATAACTTGAGAAAGATCATTCTGGTAGGAGCAATAGCAACTGCAAAGGTCCTGAGGTGGGGGCTTCCCTGGAATGTTTGACAGCTAAGTAACTGAAGATGGAAGAAAAACCAAACTTAAAGCATGACTGAAGTTTCAAGTGCAATCTCGCAGGACCTTGTTCTAATAATTACCTTTACCTTAAAAATTCAGTAGACTATATTGATTCTTTCCCTAGCAACTTCCATGCCCTTTCCCCTTTTTCTTCTCTTTAGGAAAACACATTCCAAAATTTTTTCGAGTAATAATAGAACGTGGCTGAGAAAGTATGAAAAGAAGTGAGTAGTTAGCATTCTAAAATACCACAGAAACAAGTATGATCTAGAAATGTGTCCACTGCGAACCAGGCATTTAACTCTTTTGTAACATGAAACTTCTGACTTTCTTGGATATTTTGTTAATATTAATCAGTAGAATTATGACAGCATTAATATAAAATCAAATTGAAAATGTAAGTTTGGTTGTGGCAGAAAGCGGGGAGTGGTGAGAAGATAAAAATTTTGACTCCACGTTAAGACTGGCAGAACTCTTGAAAAGTCTGGTCCTCCCAATGCTTCAATTAAGTGAAGTTGCTCAGTTGTGTCCAACTCTGCGACCCCATGGACTATAGCCCACCAGGCTCCTCCATCCACTTAATTTTCCAGGCACGAGTACTGGAGTGGATTGCCATTTCCTTCTCCAGGGGATCTTCCTGACCCAGGGATTGAACCTGGGTCTCCCGCACTGCAGGCAAACACTTTACCACCTGAGTCACCAGGGAAGTACAATTAAGGGTTCAGTTAAGGGTTGGTTAATTAACTAAAGCTTAGTTTTATCAACATTTGTAACATTCACTTTGATATTGGTTGTAGAAGTTATCCCTGGGTTTCTTCTCTGACTCCTGAGACAACAAGCTTCAGGTCAAGTTCTAAGAACACTAGACAAGCAGTATTATAATAGGTACCTAATTGGGTATAAAGTTATTCTTTCTAGTACTTGCCTTAAAATATCTGATTAGCTATAATATAAAGCTCTTGAGGAATGTATTCTGGCTAAGTTAAAAAAAAACTAATCTTTTTTTTTGGTCCTCTTTTGGAAAAGTTAAAAGTCGGCTACAGGTTTGTTGTTGTTTAGTCTCTGCACTGTGTCCGTCTCTTTGTGACCTCATGGACTGCACACCAGGCTTCCCTGTCTCCCAGAGTTTGCTCCAGTTCATGTCCATGGAGTCAGTGATTCCATCCAACCATCTCATCCTCTGTTGTCCCCTTCTCCTCTTGCCTTCAATCTTTCCCAGCATCAGGGTCTTTTCCAATGAGTCAGCTCTTTGAATCAGGTGGCCAAAGTATCGCAACTTCAGCATCAGTCCTTCCAGTGAATATTCAAGGTTTATCTTCTTTAGAATTGACAGGTTGACCTTGCTGTCCAAAGGACTCTGAAGAGTCTTCTCCAGATCCACAGTTCCAAAGCATCAGTTCTTCGGTGCTCAGCCTTCCTCATGGTCCACCTCTTACATCTGTATGTGAGTACTGGAAAAACCATAGCTTTGATTGTATGGACCTTTGTTGGCAAAGTGATGTCTCTGCTTTTTAATATGCTGTCTAGGTTTGTCATAGCTTTTCTTCCAAGGACAAGCGTCTTTTAATTTCATGGCTGCAGTCCGTCCACAGTGATGTTGGAGCCCAGGAAAGGAAAATAAGTCACTACAGGCTACAGGTAACTCTCCCATCTAATAATCTCAAACTACATGAACATTTTCAGTCAATCCTGTTATCTTTTTCATAAGGGGCAGGATTATACAATCTTCACAAAACAAGTTAGAAAAATTTTCATGACATTAAGTTATTTTAATTGTTTCCTGAGCTTTTGCTATTCTCTGTCAATATTGTATGATACTTTAAAAGCCATTGACTGTAAGTCATTAAACCATGAAATCATGTGGCTTATATACAAGGAATAGTTAACCTTGAATTCTCCAAGACAGTAGGAGAATTTGACAGATTGTATTAAATCAGTAAATGTTAGACAGATGAATGGCAGATGGATGGATAGCAGAGAATCAGACGGAGAAGCAGAATCCTTGGGTTGTAGTCCTACCATTCATGATGCTCACATATTCACATATGATAAAAGTACAAATCACAGGCAGAACAGCAAGGGCACATAAGCACTAGTTTCATGAGAGTTCTTTGTATAGTCTCCATGAAAATGTGCCTAGCTTCCCCTCCAATGTACTGTGATACAGTTGTGTATCATAAAGTGTTACAGGTGTGCTGGAAATATTGACCTCTTCAGTCTTTGGGGTAGCAAGGAAAGGCTGGGGCACAGGCATCTCCATCCAAATAACTTTTGCATTTATCCCTGTAGGCTGGACAGAAATTCTCAAATTTTTGTGAGTGAAAAACATTTGAAATGATATGCATTATGATCACATCTATAGTGGAGAATAGATGAGGAAATAGGTTGATGGGAGAAGAAGATACTAGGTGAGAACTAGAATGGAACTTCATAATACTATCTTTTTTCTTTAACATTCTGGTCTTCAGTTCTTTTTGTATTCCCAACGTTGACTGATTACATCAAATATTCCCCTGTAAAGGGAGCATTTTTGTACTAAATGAAACCCTTATTTCTAAACTTAAACTTTGCTTAAGAAATACTGGGTGCACTTAAAATAATTATGAGGAGTCATCTGGAAACATATCAGTAAAATGTATCTGGAGGATGAGAGAGACCTTTGAGGAGGTGAGAGATAAAGACAAAGTGTCAAATCAGAAAAGAGAAATAATTTGCCCAGGGATCACAGGGAAGTTAAAAAACTACAGATAAATAAACTTTCCATATGACATGAGATAGCACAAGTGATTCAGAAACATATCCTGCTTAAGTATATGACTTATGTATGCCTGGATAACTAGTAAGATCTCAATTATTTAGCTAACCAAATAAAGTATTTTTTTTCATCTGTCACAAATTTGGTTGAACTTTCCCACTATGAGTAATACAGTGTTGAATAAACACATTTGACCTGACCAAGTACTGAATGTTGGCAGAGTACAGACCACTAAAATGAGAGTACAGATCATCTTCCATGATTTTTTATTATTCTAAATCTCATTTGGGCTAAAATAGATGTGGCCATCAATATTATTTATAGGCTATAAATCCATAACCCAGAAAGGAAAATAGTTTTTCAGAAAAGAAGTGATGATACAGAAAAATTTGCTCTTTTTCTTTAATCTTCACCTAAAACACAGCACATGAAATTAAAGTCATTACTTCTTTCGCTTATTTTATTTTTTGGCCACATTGTGCAGCTTGCAGGATCTTAACTCCCTGATCCGGGATTGAAACCAAGCCACAATAGTGAATGTGCCGAATCCATATCATTGTATTGCCAATGAGTTCCTAAAGTTGTTATTTTAAACTAAGCACCTTTCTCGCACTTGCCAACATGAAAAAGGGAGGGTGTTTTCCTTTTTTAAAAATCTTTGTTATTTGGAGGCCATTATTTCAGCATTTTAAAATACTTTCTTCACTAGCTGTAAAAGTCAAGGTGAAGCCAAGGGAGAAAACAGAGTTCTTAGAGTCTACATATTCAAATTAATCAAGGAAAAATACTTTAATATTCAATGAGGTATTGAAAAACCATAGGCTTTGAAGTTAGACACACTAAGGTTTGAATCCTGGTTGTGCCCCAGACCTATGTCAACGGTTCATATACTTAAACTCTCAGAGCCCCATTTTCCTCAACTATATCTGAGATAAATGCCTCCCCCTTTTAGAGTGGTTTTGAGTATTAGTATATGTAAAAGTGCTTGGCACATGACAGGCAGGCAATAAATGGTGGTTCTTATTTCTTTAAAGAAAAAAAACAGGATCTAAATGTTTCAAAGACTTAAAGAATGAGAGGTTTTTAACTTAATTCTTATGCATAATTATTAGACAATGATTATATTACCTCTTATTTACAGTGAATAAACTCTTAGTCATCCTTTTATCCTCATTCTATTTCCTTTCACTCTTTATCATGCTGTTACTATTTCTTGCTATATAAGTCTCTTTGTGAGTACAAAAATCATTTATTTAAACACCTTTACATTCACAATTCCCCCAGTGGATGAAACTGGAAGGTGGGAATAAGAGAGAGTTCTTCAGTCAGTAAAATTTCTAAAACACAAAATGGAAAAGTATGGTTTTATAAGTACAAATGATTATAAATTACACTGCAATTAATGTTTCCATCTAATATAAGCTATTTTTGCTGAACACCACTATTTACAATGTCATTTTTTTTAAGGTTAATGTACTTCCTTGATTCGATAACTTACTCTTTGTCATTTTTTTTTTTTAGGTTAATGTACTTCCTTGATTCAAGAACTTACTCTTCGTCCTTTAGGACCTGGAATCCCAGGAGGTCCTCTTGCCCCCACATGACCCTACATGTTGAAAATTTAAAAATCAGTTACAGAATTCACAGAAATATTACAAGAATAGTAGTTTCTAAGCGTTTATACCCTGAAAAGAATGAGAAGTACTTAAGATTCACTGACCACATGGTTTTTATAATAAACACATATGGAGTGGTAGTGGAGGGAGATATGCACTTAACCAATGTGACCTGGGAGTTTAATCTGCCTGCCCATCAAGAAGCAATGGCTACTTTTGCAAAATTTCTTTCTCCTTCCTCTAGATGCTTATGATAATCCCATCACATAAAAATCGATTTTTTCTGTTACCATGAAAAACACCACAAAATTTTCCAAATTAATATGCTACAAAAACAGTCTTCAATGAAGATTTCATTATTATTCAATTACAATGAGCTCTTTTTATACCTAATAGTCTCCAATAAAGACATGCTTAGAAAACAAAGTTTATTTATTTGTATAACATAGGTAGATGAAAACAGTGAACTTTCACAGGAACTAAAATCTATTTTTTATCTTACATGACTAAAACAATTAGCAACTGTTCCCTATATCAGTCTTCCTCATTTGGAAGTCAACACATGTCTATCAGTATGCTGGAAAATTGGGCTTATTTTCAAAACAGAAGCTTCACAAAACAGCATAAACCCTTTCTGATAATAGTTCTACTTAGGGGATCACAAAAGCTCATATATTTTTCACATTTAAGTTCACAATAACTTTCAATCTTTAATCAGCAAACTTTCTCTTTAGAGACAAGACTTCATTATTTTCCTGTAAACACAAATGGAATTTTTCAAAATTCAATTTTTAAATACTAAATTTTTCTATGGATTTTTTCAATTGGAGAACATTAGTAAATTTCTAAGAACAGTATGTTGGAAATTGTGCTTCTGATTTGTCCAGTTGGTCTTACTTTGAAGCTTAATTATTGACTATTTTCTTATATATGGTTATTGGTTGCAGAGCTGTACTATTAGAAGTGAGCAGTAAATAACAGAACAAGCAGAAGCAAGAGAGTTAAAGACACCATGTTATATTCTAGAGTGTTTTGCAGTGATTGGGAAGAGAAGTCTTCTCTGTACTTACAGGTAATCCCAGGGCACCCATGGGTCCCGGAGCCCCAGGAGGACCTGGATATCCCTATAATTTAAGCAAAAATATAACAGACATGAATTCTCCATCACATCTAATTATTTTCACTGAAGATAAACCAGTAAATGATAAACAGTAATTAAAAATGATACTTTGATAAACTCTCCACCTTCTATCCAAGACATGAGGCCACGGGAAATGTTCCAAGAAAGACAATAAAAACAAAAATGTTTACAGAGAAGCTGTGTATACTTTTATTAGAAACTCTTTGCCTAGAATCACATATTATAACCTATCGAGAGGAGAATATTCATCTCATCTTTCTCTAGATTATGTTATGCTGTGAATAAATGTTCATTATGTTAAATACATACAGATTGTGAAACCATATCCTTTTCAATGTCAGGGAATTAAAAAAATTAAGAAATGTGATTGTGAATAAATACTCTAGCCTATCAAATTTTACAAGGACTACACCCTTAGTGGTATTAACCATATTCAGATGCTTCAGAGAATATCATAGAAGGCAATTATTCCTGAAATTAATTAGCCTTTAAAGGTGATTAGATTTCCTAGTTAACAGCAATTGGAGATAGGTAAAAGTAATCTTATAGTGTTTTACTCAAAATACAGAAGTCAAAAGTGAAGAAAAATTTATGTAAAATGAATTTGCAGATAATATTAGGTACAGCAGATCCATTACAATGCATTTTCTGAAAGCAAGATTCTTCAGTTGAAAATAATTCTTAATTCTATTTTCTATCACATTTAGAAACTTCAATAAATGAAAAACTGCAATCTAGATATAAAATTTATCAGTTATTACTATCTTAAAGATATAAGACCATAAGATGAATTCCAGATTTTGGTCTTTCATAAATAAAAGCATTACACTGTGACGACAAACTTATGGAAAGGTGGCAATGATGCTATGTGTCACATAAACTAAGTTGCCAAATCAAAGTAGACTCCTAATTGAATTTTCTTCTTTATCCACATATGATAATTTAGGATGGTAATTCTTCTCTTAAAACTATAGGCTCCTTTGACTAAGCCATCTGATTTGCATGCTTTTGAGTGCAAATTAGCATTCCGAATGGCAAACAGTTTAGAAGAAAACTTCTAATGGAAACTTACTACAAAATAGCATTTTTCACTTACTTGAAGTTCATTCAAGGCAATTCTACCTCTGGAAAGCCATAACTTTACTAAGTTCTTTGGACACACATCTTTCAGATTACTGAATTCTTACCATTGCACCCTTTTCCCCCTGGGGACCTACTGGACCTGGACTTCCACGCTCTCCCTTTTGAAAAAAAGAAAAAAGAAAAACATTGAGGTATGTTGACTAGTCATGAAAAGATAGAATAGACTATGTATTATTTACTGACTCATTAGTTTGGTTTACAATTTTTAAATGTTTAGGCATATGGTATGTGGGCTTCTAATTATACTCTGACCCCAGGGCCTCCATTTATAGTCTCATTCTAGATTCTACAGATGTCAGGACAGACCTGCACACACAAACCATGGGACATATACATTTATCTCATTTATATAAGATGTGAATGAGATAACAAATACATATTAGCAAGCCAAAATCAAATTAGTTATAACAATGTTCTCCAGGACACAGTAGAGAAACTTGGAAGGCAAAGTGATTTAGTAGCAAACTATTAATACAATGCACTTATAATACATAGTCTATTCTACTTTTTCAAATACACTTGTACAATGACAAAACAGTCTATAATATAAACTATAATTTTATATTATTGAGTTGGCAAAATATTTAAGAAAAAACAGAATTTAATTACTATTGTGTCTATTCTGATGATGGACTGTCAATGTAATTGATACCACTAAATTACACCATGTAATTTAGTGTATAAAAATCTCTTAAATTGCTTTATATTTATTTCAAAAAATATTTTATTTCCTCATTTATTGTTTTATTTCAGCAATATTACCAATCATATTGCTCTAATCAATAATATTACATAATATTTTCTCTTGTAATGAGCCAAAGTATGAAACAATGAAATATCATTAATTCAAAGTTTACAAAATATTAAATACTTTCATTAAAGTGTAAATGAAAAATGCAATGCACAGAAAATTAAAACCTACTTTCAAATCATTAAAAAAATTAGTCACGAATGAGCTAAGCCTGGACCATAAACTCATTCTAATTTTCAGTAAGTTTTAAATTTACAAATTTTGCAGTTTTACCCTAAAGTTGCTAGAGTTTTACTATTATTAAAATTCTCTTAAGATACTTTTCAAGGGATAAAATACTGAAGTTTATTTAAATGAAAAAATATAAATTATGAATAAACAAGATTTAAAATTGAGCATACATCATATGCTAAAGTTTTGCAAGTAGAAATTCTCATAATTTTAGATATATAAAATATGAAGACAGTAAAAGTATGAAAGCAAACTGTAAAAATTAATTTAAGTGTATAACCATTGAACAAAATTTTATTTCTATAAACTTTTAACACAATTAACCATAATAATGATAATCAAATATGTAACCATAATAATGATAATCAAATATGTCACAATAGATTAAAGGTCTAAGCTGATTCACATTAAAATTCCAAAGATTTTCAGCGTGTTAGTGTAGAAGACAACTTAACACAGAAGTAACTAAATCACAATGGAAAAGTTTATACTTTTAGATAGCTTTATAACTATCTAAATTTTTCTGAACTGAGGTCATTTTATATTTTTATATTGTTAATAAAAGACCACTAAATACTTTAAAATCACTTTTAATGTACTGAGCATTGGGGGAGATATAACAGAAATTTGACTTAGACTCTACCCTCAAGTAACTAGAAACATGTCATTAAGAAAGATGAATTAATTAAAGGAAAGTTTTAAATTGTGTGGTACTTATACTACATCCAGGAAAGGAAAAAGTCAAGAAGGAATAGAATAATCTGGGAAGACTTTATGGAGGAGACAGAACTTCACTGAGTACTATAGTTTGGCTTTGAATAAATACTGGGTAAGGAAGAGGATACTCTAAATCAAGAAAATAGTAAGAATAATAATAGGAACAAGAATAAAATATGAGGCAGGGGAGCAAGAAAGGTTTATACTGTGAATATCAGAAAATTTGTTACATGAACTGATGAAGCCAAAATCATGTAGTATCTTGACAGCAAAGTAGAGCTATTAATAGGCTTAAGCATGATGGCTCTGAAAGTAAAGAATCTGCCTTCAATATGGGAGGCCCGGGTTCAGTCCCTGGGCTGGGACAATCCTGTGGAGGAGGTCATGGCAACCCACTCCAGTATTCTTGCCTGGAGAATCCCCATGGACAGAGGAGCTTGGTGGGCTACAGTCCATGAGGTCGCAAAGAGTCAGACATGACTGAAGTGACTTAGCATACACACATAGGGAGTTAATGAAGGCTTTTCAAAATGCTTTATTCTGACCCATCAAAAAAAGTGTTCCACTAGTAATATGTAGGCTGAATTAGAAGATGGAAAGGGAAACTGAAAAGAAAGAAAGTGAAGTTGCTCAGTTGTGTCTGACTCTTTGCAACCCCATGGACTGTAGCCTACTAGGCTCCTCCGTCCATGGGATTTTCCAGGCAAGAGTACAGGAGTGGGTTGTTATTTCCTTCTCCAGGGGATTTTCCAATCCAGGGATGGGACCCAGGTCTTCCTCATTGCAGGCAGAGGCAAGTTACCATCTGAGCCACCAGGGAAGAGAGTAAATTAAAGATAAACTAATAAGATTATGTCTGAGGGAGTAGCCTAGATTGATTATTAGACAGGATAAACTGTAAAGAAAAAACTCTAAGATCAGATAAAAAGATTAGGCATAGAGAATGAGATGATTAGATAAGCAAGGGACATAAATTTGATTAGATAACTCAAGGGACATGAACTTGAGCAAACTTAAGGAGACAGTGGAGGACAGAGGAGCCTGGCATGCTGAAGTCCATGGGGTCGCAGAGTCAGACATGACTTAGTGACTGAACAACAACAATGGAAGAAAAGGGAAACACAAAGGTGGATCCACTCTATCTGGAACATTGGGAGAACAGAGATAGGTATAACGCAGACCAATAGAAATGAGAAAATTGGGAAGAGAGCAGTTTAGATGTGGGTGGGGGGTAAGGATGAATTTTAAATATATTGTTTAATATTTCCGATGGAAATAACTGAAATATTATCTAATTTACTTCTAATCCTGGCTCTACTTAATTATCCACAAAGAGTAGCCTTGCACTAGATTACCATGCTTCCACGTTACATTTAGCAAGTCAGGTTTCAGTCAAAAGTCCAAAATTTTCTAGTTCATAATGAGTCAATTAAAAACAATTCAAGAAAATGTCCTTGTTGGTTTCAAATAAAGAAATACTTCTGATTTTTTTCAAAAGACTTTCTTAAACTTGAAACTAAATATGGAAAATCACTCCCAAGATAACAATTTCTAGGAAATTTTTAAGCAAATTACAAGTTCCATCACAATAGCCAAAAAGATCCATGAATAACTTCATACTGGATTCCAAGAGGATATAAAGAGATTGTGACTGAAACTTGGATCAGGCAAAGTGATAACTTATTCTTCACTTTTAAAACTGTTTCCTTTAGGGACTTGTTCTCATAAAGTAGATTCAAATATTTTCTAGTCATATACCTAGACCATCTACTTCATCTTTTCCCTTCCAAGCACATAATTATAATCAAAAGAGCACTCTGCTCTTTAAAATTTAGAAACATATATACTATCAGCTATATCTCAATATATTTGAGAGATTCAGTATAGGTAATGCATTTTAAGTTATGAGTGATTTCTAACTCATAAAATATCAAATGAATATCCCTCCTCTGAGTTTACCTTAGAATCCTTATTATTGAACAGAACAATGAAAGAAATTACCTTTTCACCAATGCTTCCAGTCACCCCAACTTCTCCAGGTAAACCAACAGGTCCCTTTTAAGAAAGAGTATAATAGAAAATACATATATATTATATTGCCATTATAGCACCCTGGTTTAAAATCTCCTGTAAACACTATGTTTCTTTCTAACTCGTTCTAAATTCTAAATTTATCTTAGAGTAAAATTCCTCCTAGTATAGGTGTCTTGCCTAAGATTTCACATCAGAATTAATTATTCAGTCAGTTACCAAATATATATGAATGTTTAATTTGTGACAGGCCCTGTGCTGGGAGGCATGGAGCTTCAATTCTCCTTGTAGAACTAACAGTTCATGGATGTAATAAATGTCCTGAAGTTTTTACAGATTCTTGATGTGGATACACTAGCTTAAGAAATCATTTCTGTGACTTCCTTCTTTGAAAGCTCCTCAGTACATGAGGGAATAGCACATTAATTCACTTGTTAATTCACTCAAAAAATATTAGGTGCCAAATTTGTGCCTTGCCCTATGCTAGTTGCTGAGATTTCATTAGTAAGCAAAGGAGAGCTAGAACCTGCCCTGATGAGGCAAAAAGTCCTGAAGAAATAAGAAAAACTAAATTAAAAAGTGAATAATTATAAATTATGATAAGAGGTTCACAAAAGAAACAACTGCCATGCTGAGGTGGAGAATAAAAGACATATTTTACAAACGATGGTCAGGGTAAATCTGAGACCTAATATTTAAGCTGAAAGTTCAAGAATAAGAAGAGGCCAGCCAGCCAAGGGAAGAAAGGAGGAAGAGCTATCTAGGCAGAGAAAATAGCTTGAGTAAAGGATGAATTTGGCAGAAGTGAAAGAAGGCAATCAGTAACACTGTTTCAGAGTGAACAAGGCTCATGGTGCATCTATCTCTATGGATTCTGCTTCAAGCAGTGTAGAAAGCAAAAATGGTAACATAAAACAAGTTTCACTAGAGTATAATCCTTCTCCTGACTGTCTTCAATTATGAAGTTACTTTCTCTCATTTAAAAATGTATGAAATGGGTTTCCCTGGTGGGTCAGTGGTAAAGAATCTTCCTGCCAATGCAGGAGACATGGGCTCAATCCCTGGCCTGAGATGAGAACTCACGCCATGGAGCAACTAAGCCTGAGCATCACAGCTACGGAGCCCGCATCTAGAGCCCAGGAACCACAACTACTGAAGCCTGCATGCCCTAGAACGCTCAGCAGCAAGAGAAGTGATGCCAGTGAGAAGCCCTTGCACCACAACGAAAGAGTAGCACTTGCTAGTCACAACTAGAGAAAAGCCCATGCATAGCAACAAAGACCCAGAGTAGCCAATAAATAAATAAATGTAATTATTTTTTTAAATGTATGAAACATTGTCTTTTCCAATAGCTACCAAAGATACTACTTCAATATATTATCATATAAAAATACATATAAGCATTAGAAGATACCTGAATCATGAAAAATGGTTTGCTGTGTTGAAGCTGACACATGCCCCTAATATATAGGGGCATGATTTTATCCACATGCATATATATATATATATATATATAAAGAAAGCTGAGCACAGAAGAATTGATGCTTTTGAACTGTGGTTTTGGAGAAGATTCTTGAGAGTCCCTTGGACTGCAAGGAGATCCAACCAGTCCATCCTAAAGGAGATCAGTCCTGGGTGTTCATTGGAAGGGCTGATGCTGAAGCTGAAGCTCCAGTACTTTGGCCACCTGATGTGAAGAGCTGACTCATTTGAAAAGACCCTGATGCTGGGAAAGATTGAGGGCAGGAAGAGAAGGGGATGACAGGGGAAGAGATGGTTGGATGGCATCACCAACTCAATGGACATGAGTTTGGGTAAACTCCAAGAGTTGGTGATGGACAGGGAGACCCGGCGTGCTCCGGTTCATGGGGTCACAAAGAGCTGGATACGACTGAGCGACTGAACTGAACTGAACTGATATATGTATCCTTACCCACATCTATCTATCTACTGATTATGTATACACTAACATATGTCAAACACTTGCTATGTGTCTGATTTAATCTTCATAACAACCATATTTGGTAGTATTATCATAATTCCCCTTTAATATATAAGGCAGATGAGTTAAGAAGCTCTCTAAAGTATATGAGCTTAAATAGTATAGATGAGTTTAAGTGGCTACTGAACACTTGAAATGTGGCTAGTCCACACTGACATGTGCTATAAATGAAAAAGACACTCAAGATTTCGAAGACCTACTACAAAAAGTTGAAGCTAAAGCTCCAATACTTGGGCACCTGATATGAAGAGCTGACTCATTTGAAAAGACCCTGATGCTGGGAAAGATCGAGGGCAGGAGGAGAAGGGGACGACAGAGGATGAGATGGTTGGATGGCATCACCAACTCAATGGACACGGGTTTTGGTAAACTCTGGCAGTTGGTGATGGATAGGGACGCCTGGCGTGCTGCGGTTCATGGGGTTGCAAAGAGTAGGACCGACTGAGGGACTGAACCGAACTGAACTACAAAAAGAATACAAAATATCTAATTAATGACTGTTTATATTGATTACATATTAAAATGATAATGCTTTGGATATATTAGTTGAAGTAAATATTACTAAAATCAATTTCACTATTTTTTTAACATTTTTAAAAGTGGCTACTGGAAAATTTTAAATTGCAGTTGTGACTTATCATATTTCAATTGGATAATACTAATTCATATTTTTAAACAACATGCTAATGTTGGTAGTTATATCCAGATGAAAGGGACCTAATAATTTATTTCTATGGTTCTTTAAATTTAAGGGAGTGAAGGCTTTCACTCTGAAACAATCAATGATCAATGGTCAGTTAATCAAATCTGAGCAGAAGCAATGAAATTGAACTCTTTTGTGAGACATAACCCAAAGAGCAGAACCTAAGGATTTCCCTGTAGCCCAAATGGTAAGAATCTGCCTGCAATGCAGGTTTGATCCCTGGGTCAGGAAGATCCTGTGGAGAAGGGAATGGCAATCCACTCCAGTATTCTTGCTTGGAGAATCACACAGACAGAGAAGCATGGATGGTACAGTTTGTGGGGTCTGAAAGAGTTAGACACGACTGAATGACTAACACTTTTTCTAAACACAGACTAGTTAATTCAAGGGGGAAAAAAAAACTCCTTTCCCTAACAAGTCAAATTTAGATGAATGAATGGAGTAGGGGCCATTTAGCTTATCCCAATATTGACCATGTATACCAGAGCAATATTACCTACAAAAATATTTTGCTTAGCCCACAGTTCACACATACTAATTTTAAAAAGCTGAATAAGGTGCTAAGATTTATCAATCTGGAGGTTTTATATTAAAAGTTTTTATATATAAAGATTTATAAGATGCCTGGCTTCAGATGACTAGCTTAGTGTATGCTAGGCTAGTGTATTCTCAAAGACAAATATTGGATGAGCACTCTTCAGTTCACCATAGTCCCTGTCAATCGCTCGTCTCATACCTAACCATTTCACTATTTATACTACCTGCCTGATCCCAACAGGGTATTTGAGTTTGTCACTCCTGATGTCAGTATTAGAAGATGCAATCCATCAAAAGGGCTTAATTGGAAGAGATAAGTTATTATTGGAAAGACAAACAACTCCTAGGATTATATCCATGTCCACAGGGAATCTTTAATGAAACTTAGCTAGAGAACAGATGTAAAAAGGTTTCCTTAGACTATTTCAGGACCCCAAGAGTCTAATACAAACATATTCAATCTGGTAACACTCAAGTTTTGGCTATAAAGTGGGGACAGAACTATATGTAACCAGTTTATATCACTGGTACATCACTCGAGAGCAATTGTATGTAGAGTATGTTATAGGAGAGTATGTAGTAAAACAGATGATGTATCTAATCCATAACCTAGCACTTTCATTTCTAACTAGACCCTTGGATTTCTACTCACACATACATGCACTAGGAGATACACAGAAAGTGTCCATGGTGGCATTATTTAAGTAGAAAAGTAGAATCATCTGAATTATTGGTTTGTAAACAGATAAACTGAAATGTATTCATACACTGGAAAAACTCAGCAGCAATTAAAATTAATGGACCAGATAGATCTACATATATCAATATAAATAAATGTTTTAAGACAATAATGTTGAGTGAGAAAAAAGCATACATCCTTTTCTAAAGGATTTTGTTGTCGCTTTGTTGTTCAGTTTTGAAGTCATGTCCGACTCTTTGGCCATCCAATAGCTTGTAGCCTGCCAACATTCCCTATGGGGTTTCCCAGGCAAAAATACTGAAGTGGGTTGCCATTTCCTCTTCCAGGGGATCTTCCCGATTCAGACATTGACCTGTGTCCCCTGCACTGGGAGGCAGAGTCTTTACCACTGAGCCACCAGGGAAGCCAAAAAAGGATATGTCATTATGAAAACATTTTATGCAAAAGTTTAAAGCACATATAATAACAGCATAATTTGTTACTGACGTAAAATACATGGAAATTACATACACAATTTCAGGGTGACGGTTTATGTCTATGTATAGACTGGTAGCTTACTGTTATTTTAATCTGCAAGTAACAAGCAAGCTTTTGTTGTAAGCCACTGATATTTTGAGATTGTTTCTTTCTGCAGCAAAACTTAGCCTCATGTGACTGATGCAATGCGTGTTTCAAAACTGATGAACTCTGGCATTTATTATTTGAAAAACAGGCGCTTTTCCTTCACTTTCTTCTAACCCACATACTAAAGGCCCTCGGTGGTGGTGGAACTGTAAGGAAAAAGGAAGCTGGGATTCTAAGTCACTTTGTATGGGAGAGTTACTTGGTAATACCTGCACTGGACTATTAACATGAGCAAAAACAACTTCTTATCAAGTTAAAACTACAAAAATACTAGGTTTATTTGTTATAGCTGTTAATATTCCCCTAAAAATATAGTGAATTAACATGTGTTGACATAAAATTGTAAAACTTTGTAACTCAGCTCAGTTGGCTTATTCAAAAGGTAGTCTCACAGAAATGATTCTATAAGTAGAGATGGCATAGAGTGCACTGAACCAATCTCTGGTTTTGATTGCGAC